CTTTCATGATTGTCCGAGCATGGTTTCTAGAGGCTGCCTCCACCTTTTGTTATGTGGTTTGATGTCACACTATGAGTTTGGGTTCATGGCAGACTTTAAGGGAAGGCAAAGTCATGAACTGTCTTCAGGTTGGAACTGCAAAGAAATATGGTTGATTATAGACAACAAGGTACAGGGCCGGATTACAGAGTTTGGATTTCTGGTGGCAGATTCATGGAGGTGGAGGCGGAGGTGAGTTTTGGCCCAATGAAATGGGCCAGAAGCGGACTCATAGCGGCAGCAGAGTCAAGTTTGGGTGGTGTGGTACTGGCATCATCAGTGGTGCCTGCATCGGCAAGGTCCAGTGAGGATTCATAGTGGCGAGAGCATCGGTGGAGGTGAGATCTCACTGAAGAGTGGCAACTTCCATTCCAGTGGCAGCGGCAAGGCAAAGGGGACTCATGCCTCGCAACCAGGCCCATGACGGAGCACGTAACAAGAAGGCGTGTAATGTCTAACATTTTTTCTGCCTTTATATTTATGTTCATTTTTCGGTGTTTTAAGATGGTACCGGAGAGTGGCAACACTATACAACACTTTTCACTGTATTTTGTAACAAAATATATGTGACAATAAATAAATCAAATCAAATTAATACTAAATACTGCTATACTGGGTAATCATGGATATATGAGGCTCTGATTTATTATTACTTGAGGTAAAAACTAGACTATCACTTTTGGCTGTTCATGTGCTTATGTGAGTTTTCCAATCTAGATTGTTGCAATCTGGTAGCATCCTTCTAGAATTTGCGCTTTAATAGTGTTCTTCCAGGTAGCGCACTATGTTCTAACTCCACCCACACCAGAGCATTTAAGCTCAGTGACGTGCAGCTCTGCAACATCGTCAACAGCATTGCACCATGGTCCTGATGCTGTTACACACAGTTCCACTTGTGTCATCCATTCTCAGCTGGATGGATTGTGAGAGACGTGTTAGGGAGCGAGCTGAAATTTTTCCCTCTCAATAAATGACATCTCTCAATATTTTGTACAATAAACATAATGTAAAAATCTGTCTTATTCGAAATGTTTCCATGTGTTATTCCAATTAAGGACAGAAATAATATTAGTTGTTACCCATTGCACCCATTGAGAATGAGGCATTCCTTGTGGAGTTTAAAAATGGGCACTGTGACAATCATTAGAGTGGTTCCAGCTTTGGCATCAACTTTACTCCCTCACAAACACTGTCTCAGGTGGAATCAAACTTTTCTCGACCTCTGTGTCTCCGAAAGGCCTCTAAACATAGCATCCTGCCCCATATGCACTCCAATTCAGAGACTGTCACCTTTCCTATTCCTATCCTTTCCTATCATCCAAAACAGCATCTATGTATACTGCATTCCATTACCCTAGATCCTCCATCTCCATTGCATCTGTTCTGACGAGGCCAACTTCCATAATGGAGCCTCTGAAACGTCCACCTTCTTCCTCAACTGAGGATTCCCAAGCACCATAGTTGACAGTGCCCTCAACCGGGTCTGACCATTCTCCCACACTTTGGCCTTCATCCCCTCTCTTCCATCCCATAACTGAAATATAGTCCCCCTGGTCCTTACCTACCATCCCACCAGCATCCATATCCAGAGGATCATTAGCTGCCATTTCTGCCACCTCCAGCAATATATCGCCAACAGACGCATATTCCCCTCCCCTCCCTTGTCAGTCTTCTGCAGGGACCATTCCCTCTGGGACACACTGGTCCACTCATACTTCACTCCCAACAACTCCCCACACCCCCACGATATCAAAGAATGAAGAACAATATAGCACAGGAACAGGCCCTTTGGCCCTCAAAGCCTACATTGACACATTTTGCCCTTCCATACTAAAATTGTCTTCACTTACAAGATCCCTAACCCTCTATTCCCATCCTATTCACGTATTTGTCCAGGTCCTTCTTGAATGCTGCTATTGTGTCTGCTTCCACCACCTCCTCTGGCAGCGTGTTCCAGGCACTCACCACCCTTTGTGTGAAAAACGTGCATCACACATCTCTTTTAAACGTCCCCCCTCGCATCTTGAATCTGTGTCCCCTAGTAATCGACACCTCCACCCTAGGGAAAAAGCCTCATACTTTCCACTCTATCTATGCCACTCACAATCTTATAAACTTCTATCAGGTCGCCCCTCAACCTCTCGCATTCCAGGGAAAACAAACCCAATCTATCCAACCTTTCTTAATAGCTAAAATCCCCTATACCAGGTAACATCCTGGTAAACCTTTTCTGTACCCTTTCCAAAGCATTCACGTCCTTCTATTAGTGTTGTGACCAGAACTGTACACAATATTCCAAGTGTGGCCTAACTAAAGTTCTATAAAGCTGCAGCATAACTTGTCTATCCTTATACTCAATGCCCCTTCTAATGAAGACTACCTTATCTACCTGCGCTGCCACCTTCAGTGATCTGTGGACCTGCACACCCAGATTCCTCTGCGTATCAATATTCCTAAGGGTTCTGCCATTAACTGTATGACTTCCACCTATAGTTGACCCTCCAAAATGCATCATCTCATATTTGTCTGGATTAAACTCCATCTGCCATTTTTCTGCCCATGCCTCCAACTGATCTTTATCCTCTGTATCCTCTGATAGTCCTCCTCACTGTTGGCAACTCTTTCCTCTAAATCATTTATGTAGACCATGAGCAGCAGAGGTCCCAACACTCCCTCTCTGTGAAACACCACTAATGTCCATTCCAAAAAGCATCCTTTCACTGCTACCCTCTGCTTCTTATGACTAAGCCAGTATCTTTCCCTGAAATCACAGAAAGTGTAACATCTACCCATTTACTCCCACCTTCCTCAGTATCCATGGCTACAAACACACCTTCCAGGTGAAGCAGCACTTTACCTGCACTTCACTCAATCTAGTCTAATGTATTCATTGCTCACAATGAGGTCTCCTCTACATGAGGGAAACAAAGTATAGACTGGGTCACCACTTTGCAGAATACCTATATTCTGTCCACAAAAAAGACCCTGAGTTTCCAGTTGCCTACCACCTCAACATGCCACCATGTTCTTTGGCCAACATCTCTGTCTCAGGTTTGCTGGAGTTTTCCACCAGAAGCTGGAAGAACAGCACCTCATTTTCCAATTGGGAATCCTACATCATCCTAGACTTAATATCGAGTTCAACAATTTTAGGGCTTGAGTACCTTTCCCCATGTTTTTCCCCACCCTCCACACACCAGGCCTTGTCATTACATGGGCTACCACATACTACCCATTGTCAGCCACTAATAGTCCCCATTAGCAGCTATTTATTCTCCAGACTGACCTTTAACCACTCCTTTGTCTGCCCAATTGTTTTTCTCTCTCTTTGGGCTCTATCTCCACCTATCGTTTACTCCTCCCCCATCACCCACCCAATCTTCTGTACAAAAAACATCCTTTTCCTAGCTACCATCAATTCTGAGGAAGGGTCACTGGACCCAAAACGTTAACTCTGATTTCTCTCCACAGATGCTGCCAGACCTGCTGAGATTTTCCAGCAATTTCTGTTTTTGTTTCAGATTTCCAGCATCCACAGTTCTTTTGTGCATGGATACTGTGCTCAACTAAATGTTGCCAGCATTTTCTATTTTTGTTTCATATTTACATCATTAGCAATATTTTACTGTTTGTTAATTTAAAACACGTTAATAGCCAGAGAAAATACACGCTATCAAATTAAGGGTGAGGCTGATAGTGCTTGCTGAATATGGATAGCTGTGATAATCCTAGAGGACTATTCTCTTATTGTGAAGAGATAACCAGAGGTGAGTTTGGCCTGAGGGACAACTTGCCTCGGGTGAGGGGGGAGATTTAGAAAATGGGATTTGCACAATGACTTCAGCTGGTGAGGGAATTAAAGCTGGGCTGTTGGGGTTACACTGCATTGCAAACCAGCCATCCAGTCAAGTGAGTTAATTGTTATAAATATAAATGAGCTCAGTAGAGCTCAACATTTGCTTCCCATTTATTATTTTAGAAAATTATTAGCTGTGTATTACAGGCGAGCAGAAAACCATATGATACATATGTTAATGAAAGGTTTTGTGGACTAGTATGTTCCAAGCCTTGTTTGACATGTCTTAAATCAAGATGTCACATTTAATGTCTAATATTGACATGCTAAAACTGTGTATTGCTGTGATCTGGCTGCACCTCAAATCTGCATTCACTTTGAGTCTGTAAGACTTGAGGAAGCACTTAAGCTCAAAAAGCAGTGAAGAAAGACCACATGGTGTAATCAGAGGACTGAGTTACAAGAAATGAAAGGCAGAATCACCCCAGAATTTATAATTAAAAGAGACAGTAAATTGTCAGACTAGATTCAAATTAACCTGGCATTTTTCTATGTTGCCCTTTTTCATTTTGATCCCCACTTTGATTTAGAAAGGTCATTAGGCATCATATTCACTAATACCATTCTGTGGCAGTATCTGCTATTTTTACTTTTTGCTCAAATTAGGAAATGTAGTTTTGGAGTCTGCTTTTTATTCTTTACCATTAGCCATCAAATTTCCACATTTTCTACAAACGTTCTGTGATTTTTTTAATGAAACATGAATTCCAATTTTACAATTGCTTTCTTTATAAATTTTAATTTATTTATCAAATAAATTCTGAACTTTAAGTTAGCCCAAATTGGTCGAAGTCACTGTTCTTAACTCCTCAGAGCCTTTAAGAGAGAAAGAGATAACAAAGCAAAAGTGGAAACAAATATAAAATCAGAATCAGAGAGACACAAAGGATTTGAGAGGGGATCAGTGGAGACAGTAGCAGCTGGAGATAGGCAAATGGTAGTTATTACAATTCATCTGTTTTGTGTTTGTTTCCTTTTCAGCATTGTCACGATAATATAAAATACACACTTTAAGAAAAAATACAGGGACCCACATTACAGACCAGTGTGCTTGAATGAATTATACATGCAAGATTTGTTACAATGTCTTTTAAATATCTACTAGGTTCTCAACCATCTGCTGCATTTGAAGTTTACAAACAGCATGGGCGAGCAGGTTGATTTTGATGATCAAGGTGACCTTAAAGGAAATTATACCATTATCAATTGGCAGTTGTCCCCTGAAGATGAATCTGTAGTGTTTCAAGAAGTTGGCAACTACAATGCAGATGCTAAACCAAGTGACAGACTCAACATAAATGACAAGAAAATCTTGTGGAGTGGCTTCTCAAAAGTGGTATGTGATCAATTTTTAATCATCTGTTTTATTTTGTTCAATATACAATTTGTCAAATGTAAAATTTCATAATTTTCACTGATCGTTGCAGTATATCTCTTCAGTTCATGTTAAAGAAAAGTAATTTTGCTAAATCATCAGTGGTCTGTAGTAGGCTTGTAAATAGCAATCCTTTTAATATTATACAAAGGAAAATATATGAATATATTTCAGTTAATAGTTTAGTATGTAATAGCTATTTTACCAAAATAAATGCTCATTTTGTCAAAGCTTTTCATCTAGCACTCATCAGGACAATTTGCAAGAACACCAATCCAAGGGAAAAAAACCAACATTTATTCTAAATGAAAGGAGAGTAAGTGGAGTTAGTAAGTGGACTCTGATAGTAGAAACATTCCCATGGAGAACCAATGCATTAAACCAGTTAACTATCAGCCTTTATTTGCATTTTAAACATAGCAGATCTTTAAGATGTAAAGAAAGCCCGGCAGTTACTGTCAATTATCATTGGTGTATACTCCATGGCAATGTCTCTACAAATTAGAACCAACATCCCAACCAATCAGCACCCTCCTGTTGTGCAGTACAGATGTTGATTTACCTGCTGGAGTTGGTATTCTTGCAAATTGTCCTGATGAGTGCAAAATGAAAAGCTTCAACAGAATACACAAGTTTTAGTCTACCAGCCAGCTATTTGTATAATAGTTGAACTTATTGCAGCCTCTCAAATATAATTAGCTATTTTGCTACTACTAATAATATTTCAAATTTAATATTTCTGTTATATTCCCAAACAATTTTGAAATTTAATTTCAAGCTGCTTCAGTATTTGATAACACAGACTGGGATAATACTCAGACACAATTTATAATGTATTGTTTGTACTATTTTGTATTTTGTCTCACGCAAATCGCTTACAACATCAGACTCGATATCAATAGCCCTTGGTTCTCCACTCAACACATGTTTCTGCAGTTCTTGCTCTGATCAGTCATATCCCCATTTAACATTTGAAACCCTGCTTCCCATTAAAACTGTTATGACCTTTCAACCTGGTTGTTCTCCCTGGTTATGGCAGACAACAGTTTTAGCCATTCACTTTCAATTCTGGCTGGATGACATGAAGTACCTTGAGGTACTGCTCTCATCTGCTAATACGGTTCATTATTTTAGAATCAACTGGAAATCCAAAGGTACTCCCAACTTCTTTTCCAAACTGCAATCTTTTCAAATTTTGTTTCCTATCACCTCTATCCTCACCTCTAACAAATGAGAGCTCGCAAACTTCTTGTTTACCAAGTCTGAGACACCATCGAATCAGCTATACATCCACTTCCCTCCCTTACTTGAGTCTAACGGGCCAAATTTCCTTTAACACTCCTCCATGCCCCAAGTCCTGATCTCGTATCTTCCTCTCCCTTCTTTCCTGTCTCCCATCATGTCTTCTCTGAGCTTATGTTATCCATAAGACCCACCTTCTGCTCTCTGATCCTTTTTCTAAAGAGACCTCTGACTGCCCATATTCCCCTGCTCGTCTCCACGTTAACTGACATGTTGAAAATTTCTCATTCTTCAGATACTTAAATATTCCATCTTCACATCTCTTCTCAAAAAACAACCCTTGACTCTTCTATCCTTGCAACCTACCATTCCATCTCCAACATTGCTCCTTCCAAAAGACCTAGAACATGTTGTCACCTCCTAAATCCATTTCCGAGGACTTTATGTTTGAATCCCTCTAAACAAGTTTATGTCCAATCACCATATCAAAGTGACAAATGACACTCTGTGTAACTGCAACTAAGGTAAATGGACCCTCTACTTCCTTCTCAATCTATCAGCTGCTTTGAGCACAGTTGGTCACATAATCTTCCTCTGAAGCCTCTCCACTGTCATCCAGCTGGGTGAGCTACTCTCACCTGGTTCCATTTTTATTGATCTAACACTTGTCAGATCACATGCAATGAATTCTCCTCCCCCTCTTGCAAGGTTATGAATGGTGTCCCCCAAGAAACTATCTTTGACTGCATCCTATTTATTACCTACATGGTACCCTTCTGTAGCATCATCTGAAGACACATTCGTTTTCCTCGTATGCACTGACCACACCCAGACTGACGTATTTGGTATTGCGTCTAAATTGTAAGATGAAATTGTGAGCACCATACTTAATTTACAGAATTTTCTTCAATGGCAGAAGTACATTTGGAGATAATTTAGCAAGATTGAGAGAAATTTCTTTGACCAGTACTTTCAAACAAGAGTTCCGCTGTTCACAGTTGTAACAAACAACTGCTTCCATATAGGGTAGCAATGTAGTGACAGGCTGTGAAGACCTTTGGTAAAACAATAGGGAACATGCAGAATTGAATGGCACAATTCCAATTTCATTTCGCACAAATTGCATTAACATAAAATGTACATACAGGCAGTTGCTTAGAATTATAACTACAAAGGAATTGCATATGTGACAAAAATGGATAGCAACTAAATCTACTTGGAGGATAAATACAGTTAAAACTGCTGCAATGGAATAACGTCATCTGTCAGAACCTATTTCAATGGAAAAAATTTCGAAAGAAGAGCTAAATATTTAAGTGATGCATCCACAGAGAAAAAATGTGGCAGTGAATTTATATAGGAAATCAACCACACACTGATTATAAATTTGACCCAAAGAATTTTAATGAATCTGTTCAAAGTTTCAACATTTCTTTATTTATTTACATTCCTAGGTGCCTTTTTCAAACTGCAGTCGTGATTGTGTGCCTGGAACCAGGAAGGGAATAATTGAAGGGGAGCCTACCTGCTGTTTTGAGTGTGTAGCATGCGCAGAAGGAGAGTTTAGTGATGAAAGTGGTAAGCAAAACTATTAGTTTTATCCCTGTACATATACGTATAACTGAGACCGCTATAGAGCATATATGTTCAAATCTCAGAGTTCTCCCTTCGGAAACATGTGAACTAAAATGCAAATATTATAATTGACATCCACTTACATCTCTGCAAAGATAAGCAAATATATTTGCGAACATAGAAAACATATAAACAAGGAACAACAGTAGGTTATTCGGCCCTTCAGCCCAGCTCTGCCATTCAATAAGATCACGGCTGATCTAATTTTAACGTCAACTCTGCATGGCCCTGATAGTCTTTCATCTCCTTGGTAGAGGACTAAAGGAGACTGCTTTTGCAAGGTTATTTGTGTTTACGAAAAAGCTACCAATGTTTATAGAGAAAAATGCAACACAGCTGCAGCTGAAAAACAGGCAGTTACCTGCTGGAAAGTGACACCTTACCTGATCCATTAATACCTATAGCCCGTTTAATGTCACATTTATGCAGGGCTGTAGCTGGGCAAGCAATCTGCTCGCTTGAATTTGACGCTAGTTGTTTAAATTTGTAAATCTGTTCCAAAGAGATAATTTAAAGGTGGGAAGAAATGTAGTAAAATCAAAGGTTTTGAAGAATTTTCTTCTGAGTACTGCACGTTAACTGAAGATTCTATCAGTGTTATGATCCTGGATCTGTCTACCAAATTTATGTTACGAGCTGTCTGGAGACCAGCAACCTCTTTATTAAAGTCGACAAAAGTGTGAGTTCCAGGGGACCTACAAACAGAATAAAGCCACAAGATTCCACTTTTTTTTAACAAACAACAATAAACATTAGAACAGTAATATAATCTGCAATACATGTACAATTTATATTCTAATACCCAGAACCAACAATTGGTAAAATTGGGGGAGGTGATAGCCTAGTGGTATTATCGCTGGACTGTTAATCCAGAGATCCAGATAACATTCTGGCGACCCAGGTTCAAATCCCACCAGGGCAGATGGTGGAATTTGAATTCAATAAAATATCTGGAATGAAGAATCTAATGATGACTGTGAATCCATTGTCAATTATCAGGGAAACCCCATCTGGTTCACTAATGTCCTTTAGGGAAGGAAACTGCCATCCTTACCTGGTCTGACCTACATTTGACTCCAGGCCCACAGCAATGTGGTTGACTCTCAGCTGCCCTCTGGGCAATTAGGAATGGCAATAAATGCTGCCTAGCCAGCGATGCCCTCATCCTGTTAACAAATAAAAATAAATGAGTAATGGACTGTGATTAAACACCCTACAGTGTACACAAAATAGCAAATATAATCAAGGCAGGATTGTTCAGCAATTACCCCCAGATGTGAATGACAACATGGTCAGTCATCAAATCTCATGCAACTTAACAAGGAATTCTTCAATTTTCATTTCTTCTTTTCTACTAACCTGGCCTTGAAATTCCCTCTCAATTTCATCATGGGCTGCCTCAGTGACAGCTCTGTTCTGGTCAATCACCCTCCCTTCCTGGATCTATAATTCCCCAGAATCCAGAAACTGCACTCCAATACTTAATCACAGGCAGTACTCCAGCTTTTCCACAAAAGCTAGCTTCACCCCTTAATTTTTCCCTCAGCTCGAATCTTGCTCAGTCACACCAAACAAATACTGCTTGTGTGCTTTACAATACCCTATCTTGGCTGTAGTGAACTACTAGTGGCACTTGGCTTCTTTTTAAATGTCCACAGTTCCTGGGACATTTCCAGAACCTTGATTCAACGCCTAGCTCCCTATTAACTCCAAGAACTTCTTCCTCAGATCTAAAAGCACTGAAACATCCAACTGCTTTTGCAATGTCTTGCTGAGGCCCCTACAAAAAAAAAATCCATGTAATTCAGTTGCCTTTCCAGCAGCACTGTGTAGCATGGACTCTATCTCTCTCATTTCTCTCACTCACATTCACTTTCGCACTGCTTGTAATCTATGAATTCCTCTTCAGTGACCAGTGAAATCTCCTCAGGGACCTATTAAAAATCTTGCAACTAGCTCCATCTCTGCTCCTAAGCAGAATTGCATGTAACTGATTTATTTTGAAACACTCAAATGCAACATCCCCTTGAAACTGAATGTGCTTGTTGGCTTCTGCAGAACATAAGAAAAATGCTTATAAATACAAGGATTATCACACCAGCAACATTGAAGAATACAGATGTAAAATGCACAGATTATCAGAGTCAGAGAAGGAAAGAATATAAACTGAGACATAAAACAAGTGTGGATCAGAAAGCACAAACAAAAGCCTTGCAAGGAAGTTAAATAAAGCTGTAAAGAAAAATGACTCATTTGCAATAAATACATCTGGATGCAGAGCTACTGAAGATTTGGTGAGGACAAATTGGATAGCTAAGTAGAATTTAGTACAGATTAAAATGTGAGTAGCGAAGAACTGGTAAATGATACTATTGTGATTGCACATTGATGGTTGGTGAACCAACTACATCAGATTAAACTATCAGTCAACCTTAAAACCGAGCTAAAAGGTGAGAAAACTTAAGGAACAAAAACAAAGTTGCTGGAAAAGCTCAGCAGGTCTGGCAGCATCTGTGAAGGAGAAAACAGAATTAACGTTTCGGGTCCGGTGACCCTTCCTCAGAACTCAAAACTTAATCCTCATACTGAGAGATAGTAGGAATTGCTGAAGCTGGAGTCTGAGACAACAAGGTGTGGAACTGGATGAACACAGCAAGCCAGGCAGCATCAGAGGAGCAGGAAAGCTGACGTTTTGGGTCTGGACCCTTCTTCAGAAATTCCCATTTCTGAAGAAGGGTCCAGACCCGAAACGTCAGCTTTCCTGCTCCTCTGATGCTGCCTTCTTCAGAAATTCCCATTTCTGAAGAAGGGACCAGATCCGAAACATTAGCTTTCCTGCTCCTCTGATGCTGCCTGGCCTGCTGTGTTCATCCAGCTCCACACCTTGTTATCTCTAATCCTCATACTAATTGTTGGATAAGGTAGTAATAACATGAAAGTGAGGCAAAATGAATTGACTATGCTCTTTCATTGACCAAAGAGTCAGTGCTTTGAAAACTTACTTGTATAAGAGAAAAAGCTAACTATACTCATTGTTATCTTATCTCCTTTAGACGCAAGTGCGTGTACAAAATGTCCCAATGATTTCTGGTCAAATGAGAATCATACGTCATGCATAGCCAAGGAGATTGAATACCTGTCATGGATTGAACCTTTTGGAATTGCCCTGACAATATTTGCCATTCTGGGAATACTGATGACTTCCTTTGTTTTGGGAGTATTCATTAAGTTCAGAAATACACCTATTGTGAAAGCCACTAACAGAGAACTCTCCTATCTCCTCCTCTTTTCCTTAATCTGCTGTTTCTCCAGCTCATTGATCTTTATTGGAGAACCTAAGGATTGGACCTGTAGATTGCGTCAACCTGCATTTGGAATTAGTTTCGTGTTGTGCATTTCTTGCATTCTGGTGAAAACGAATCGCGTATTATTAGTCTTTGAGGCCAAGATCCCAACCAGCCTCCATCGAAAGTGGGTGGGCCTCAATTTGCAATTCTTACTTGTTTTCCTCTGTATTCTAGTGCAAATAGTTACTTGTGTTATCTGGCTTTACACAGCACCCCCTTCAAGCTACAGAAATCATGAACTAGAAGATGAAATCATTTTTATTATGTGTGATGAAGGCTCCTTAATGGCACTTGGTTTTCTCATTGGTTACACATGCCTCCTTGCTGCCATTTGCTTCTTTTTTGCCTTTAAGTCTCGCAAACTCCCAGAGAACTTCAATGAGGCCAAATTTATTACCTTCAGTATGCTGATATTTTTCATAGTCTGGATCTCATTCATTCCTGCTTACGTCAGCACTTATGGGAAATTTGTTTCAGCTGTAGAAGTCATTGCTATTCTTGCATCAAGTTTTGGGTTACTTGGATGCATTTATTTTAACAAATGCTACATAATTTTGTTTAAACCGTCAAGAAATACAATTGAAGAAGTGAGATGCAGTACGGCTGCCCATGCTTTTAAAGTGGCAGCAAAGGCAACTTTGCGGCGTAGCACCCTGTCTCGTAAAAGGTCTAATAGTATTGGTGGTTCAACTGTCTCCTCTCCAACATCTTCAATCTGTAGCCAAAGCGCCCATGATGAGAGAATCACCATGGAAATGCAGAGATGCAGCAAGCAGAAGGTCAGTTTTGGCAGTGGAACTGTCACTTTATCCCTGAGCTTTGAGGAAACTGGAAGGTACGCAACTGTTAGCAGGAACATGAGGAGGAGAAACTCAATGGAAGCCAAATACAGCGATGATTTTTTGACAAAGCATAATGTTTTGATCCCTCTTCAGAACTATGAGACAGGAAATGATACATGGTGCAAGACAATGGGAACCAATGGATCAGGAACTCTTGAGTCATTGGATGGTAGCAAAGAACATGCCAAACATACTGAAGAAATATCTTCCAACACTTCAATAAATTCAAGAAACCTTGTGGATGGCACCATTGTAGATAATGCTATAAATTCTTAACAATGCAGTATTTTCAGATCGTTCCAATGTTTGTGTGAATTGTGATGCAAAATGTAAATTATGCTTTTCTGGTTTGCACCAAAAATGAAAATTCAAAAATTTTCCTAGAAAACTGACCAAGCAGCAATTCAGAACATTCAGGTATTGCTGAAACTGAGAGGTATATTAGGACAGCAGTTTTGTCATGGCAGGCCAGTTCCTGGATTTTCCATAATAATGATATACACATTTCAAAGCTTGCATTTGGATTTTTTCAGTAACGCTTCAGAAGAAGTTGCAGAGAGAGGAACAGAAAGACAACAATCATTTAAAATGGAATGGCCTATGGATCCACAATTTAACAACTTTATTCTTTCAAAGCTTGCCATATAACAGAGATTATAAAGAGCCCTGTATACTTGAAAGGTCATTAAAGTTGTGATTGTGTAAACATCTGTATATTTGCAAGATGATATATTGGGTCAATACATTTAAAGGAATCCAAATAATTAAACATTGAGTGCCAAAAATGCAAAGAATCTTTTGATATCCTTCAAGAAAAGTTATGCTGTTACAAAAATGCATTGCACCTATGCTATAGCACTACTGCAGGTTGTTTATTTAGTATTATCAAGACAGTTACGCTATGGAAATGCTACAGCAGTGTTAAAGTTCATCTGAAGTGAGGTCCATTGTTTTAGCAGAAATATGACTCGGGAAGCAAAACAATGTCACAGGTAGGTGATGGGTTATCAAATTATGTTTCCATGGTTATTGTTCTCATGTTACACATATCAATTCATTTATATTCAGTGTTACAGCATGGATATTGTTGAAGGAGCAGGAAGTGACAAATTTGATTTTGGGTATTAGGAATTTGAGTGATGAAGAGAAGCCAAAGAGGTTGGGCTTATTTTCTTTACAAAAAAGCAACTTTTATAAGATCAGATTGAAGTCTTCAAAATTACGAAGAGAGATGGTGAAGGGAATCTTTTACAAGATGGCACAAATAAAATAATTAAGAAGGTAGAATTGAAAAGAAATAACTTTTTCATTTTCAAGGTAATATAGTTGTGGATTAAGTTACCAAGGAAGGTCATTGAAGAAGACAGCATAAATTGTTCAAGAGGCAATAAGATGTGTTTCTGGAGACAGAAAGGATTCAAGTTCAGAAAGGATTCATAAACTTGATTGAGTTTTTAAAGAACTAACCAAAAAGATTGAGGGCAGAGCAGTAGACATTGTTTATTTGGACTATAGTAAAGCATTCGACAAGGTTCCACATGGTAGACTAATTAATAAAGTTAGATGACATGGGATTCAGGGTGAGCTTGCCAATTGGAGACAAAATTGGCTTTATGGTAGGAGAGAGAAGATGGTGCTGGAAGATGGTTTTTCGGATTGGAAGCCTGTAAACAGTGGTGTTTCACAAGGATTGGCACTGGGTCCACTTTTGTTTTTCATTTATATAAATGATTTGGTTGAGAATAAAGAAGGTTAGTAAGTTGCAGATGACATCAAAATTGGTGGTATAGTGGACAGTGAAGAAGGTCGTCGAAGATTACAAAAAGATCTTGATTAACTAGGTCAATGGACTGAGGAGTGGCAGATGGAGTTTAATTTGGATAAATGTGAAGTATTATAATTTGGTAGCACCAGTAAGGACAGGACTTATACTATTAATGGTAGGGCCTTGGGTAGTGTAGAGAGACCTAGGGTTCAGGTATGTAAGAAGGTAATTAAGAAGGTTATTAGCACGCTTGCCTTCATTTCTCAGACCTTTGACTACAGGAGTCGGGACACCATATTGAGGTTGTTCAGGATGTTGCTGAGGCCTCTACTATAGAATTGAGTGTGCAGATCTGGTCGTTATAGGAGGGATATTACTAAACTGCAGAGAGTTCAGAAAAGATTTACCAGGATGTTGCTGGGAATGAACAGTTTGAGATATAAAAATAGGCTGGAAAGGCTAGGGCTGTTTCCACTAGAGCATAGGAGGTTGAGGGGTGGTCTTATAAAATCATGAGGGACATAGATATGGTGAATGACAAGGGTCTCTTCCGTAGGGTGGGGGAGTTCAAAACTAGGAGGCATATTTTTAAGGTGAGAGGAGAAAGATTTAAAAAGGATATGAGGGACAACTTTTTTAACACAGAGAATGAATAGCCAGAGAAAGTGATGGATGCAGGTACAGTTACAATGTTTAAAAGACATTTGGATAAGTTCATGAAAAGGAAAGTTTGGAGAGATATGGGCTAAGTGCAGGCAGGTGGGACCAATTTAGTTTGGGAACATGGTTGGTGTGGGCTGGTTGGACTATAAGGCTGTTTCCATGCTGTGTGACTCTACGACTCTATGACTGCAATTCATACTGACAGATGATACTTGATATCTCAAAAAGAATTAGCTTTGGAATTGATGGCCATTTTCAGTCTCTAAAAAATTGAAAGTCTTTATTTGAAGTGCAATATTACTTTAGATTGCTACACTAGCACAGTCCTGCAACATGTATCAAATTATTTTTGAGTTACAGTATGAAGGGCAATGCTGCCTTTAACCTACGAGTGAAAAGACAGATTTGTGATCCTGTGATATTCTAATAGTGTCGATAGCAGAAAAAAACTCATTTTAAAAATGTAAAGTCAGCTGTTGTAATGTCAAGAAAGGAAGAGAGAACATAAAAGAAGAGTAAGATGTAAAGAGAGCCTAAGAAGGAAATTTCATGGCAATGTAAGATATGAGCAGTAAAAATGTATGAACAATTTCTTGTCTGTTCTGTAGGTTATCTTAATGCCTGAGAGTAATTTGCTGGAGGTGAGTTATAATATTGGAGCAAAGAAAATGAGAAGATACTTGGTACAATAAAACAGCCTTGTATAAACACAATTGTCATTGAGATAGAGATAGTAGGAACTGCAGATGCTGGAGAATCCGAGACAACAAGGTGCAGGGCTGGATGAACACAGCAGGCCAAGCAGCATCATAGGAGCAGAGAGGCTGACGTTTCGGGCCTAGACCCTTCATCAGAAAAGGGGGAGGGGAAGGGGGTTTTGAAATAAATAGGGAGAGAGTGGGAGGCGGATAGAAGAGGGATAGAGGAGAGGATAGGTGGAGAGGAAACAAACAGGTCGAAGAGGCGGGGATGGGGCCAGGAAAGGTGAGTGTAGGTAGGGAGTTAGGAAGGGGATAGGTCAGTCCAGGGAGGACGGACAGGTCAAGGGGGCGGGATGAGGTTGGTCGGTAGGAGATGGAGGTGCGTACATTATGGAGTACATTATGGAGTAGATGGAGGATGAATGATGACTAATTTCTGACGGCAGTAAAGTCTGAGGAGGTGACTCCAAAAGTCTTCATACTTGACAGAGTCAAGGGCTTGTGTGAAGTTGAAAATGGCCATAAGTATAGTTGGTTGGTCTGGAGACTAGGACTGCCTATTGCAGGCACTTCAAAGCACAGGGGAAGTACAATTACTTGTGCCTTTGCAAGATCCTCCAAATCTAAAAGTGAACAAGCAGCAAAGTCCTCTTCCAAGCCAACATGCCCAGTATAGAGGCATTAATCACTTTGAACTAGCTGTGCTGGCAGGGACATATCATTCGAATGCCTGACATCAGACTCCCAAAGCAACTGTTCCACTTAGAACTCAGTCATGGTAGGAGACTTTTAGGAGGACAGCAGAAATGTTTCAGGGTTTTCTTCAAAACATCTCTGAAGGGGTTAAACATATCCATTGACTCATGTGACTTATCAAAATGGGGAAAGTTCATTCAGGAAAGCACTGAATATGTCAACAAATGTCATTGGGAATGTGCCGTGGCAAAGTTGAGGCATCAACAGGAGCAGACAAACCTCCAAACAGCCTATCTACTCAACTCTTCCATACTATCTGCCCTGTGCTTGGCAGAGTCTGCATATCAGGTATTGGATTTATCAGCCATCCCAAAACCCATCAAACTTGTGTGGAAGAAAGACAGGACTGATGAGATGATAATAAGTTGTTCGTGATTCAGTGAGATTGAAATAAAAAAACGTGGAACAGAAAAGCAGCTAATGATAGTGGTGACTCAAAGGCTGAACACTGCAATGGCAATTATGTTGTTCCATCAATGCAAGTCTGATATCGAAGTAATGTGACGTTAGTCTGACAATGGTAATGGTATAATGTGAGAATGATAAGACAGCAGAATAGAGCAGTTTAACATTAATGAAGCATTAGTAATGGAGGGGTATGACATTAGTTCGGTGATGCGAATGCAATAGTTGGCATTTGTAAGATTAATGACGCAACAGTAACAGATAATGTAAAATTAAAATTGTCCTATCACTTTCACCTAGAGTTAATATGACATGAAATGTCTGTTTTTTTGAATGCTTCTGAAGATTGACAATTTCAGATCTGTAAGGTGTGACAGGATAAATAACAGAATGGATGTCTCAATGAGACAGGCTGACTTAGAAGGTGAAACAAAGAGCCAGTCAACTGAAGTACATTTACCCTATATAATTGGATGATGTTTCTTATAAATATATGATCAGATAGTGAAACTGTGGCTCTTCCATTATCAGGTTAGCCAGAGGAAAAGTAGAGATTGAGAATTTAGAGCCATGTGAAGCTGTGACCACGATTGGCAGCCGGAACTATTTCTTTTCATTTATATCCGAAACTTCAAGGAACTGTAACAAGAATATGTAATGACTTTGTAATAGAAAATTGTTAATACTACGTAAATGCAAATTGTATTTTAAACATAAAATGTGTAAAATTGGTAATTGTATATCTATATATTAAATACAGTTTCTTGACAAATAGTTTTTCATAAGAATCTAAACATCTTGGAGCACTTGAATACACTATTCACTTGTGTATTCCTTGATCAAGTTTCTTCTTTAGATTCAATGACACATGATATTCATTTTGGAATCTTGACTGAAATTCATTTTTCCGTCTGTGCCTACATTACCCTGTTTATAATTCTTTCTTCTTTAAAACTGGCTTTCATAAAACCTTACAGAAGTTTGTAAAATCATGAGGGGTATAGATAGGGTTAATGGTAGGTGTCTTTGCCCTGGAATGGGGGATTTCAAGACTAGGGGGCACATTTTTAAAGTGAGAAGACAGAAATTAAAAAAGACACGGGGGCAATTTTTTTACACAGAGGGTAGTTCGCGAATGGAATGAACTTCCTGAGAAAGTGGTGGGTGTGGGCACATTTACAACATTTAAAAGATATTTAGATAAGTACATGAGTAGGAAGGATTTGAAGGGATATGGGTCAGTAGAAGGCAGATGGGACTAGTTTATTTTGGGATCATGTTCGGTATGGACTAGTTGGACCAAAGAGTCTGTTTCCGTCTGTTTGACTCTATGATGCTATGAAACAAGGTTATATTTGTGAGTTCCCTTGTAGTTTCTTAAGATCAGAAATTAAACCTAAGCATGTACTGTGTAAGACATCTCATTTTTAATTTTCAAAGGACTATAGCCATACCCAAGTCA